AAAGTCACACAGCCAACAGTTTGCATGTCTTCCTGATGTCAAAACTGTCACTCTTTCTACCTCTTCCCAATCCTTCCCTTACCAGTCTTCAGGTGTGGATGATCTGTACTTGCCCTGCTTGGGGAACTCAGAAATGATAGGGTGAGAAGTTTACAACTTAAAGATTTTCCCCATTGTTGTCTCTTTATTTCCTAGTGTAACCATAATGTAAAGATTTTTTATTATAACTGCTTACAGTAAAGATTTTTATAGCATCCCTTAAATGTCATTTGTTTGTACTAGTGTCTACATTTCCTGAAACTTAAAATTCTCATCTACTGAATAAATGAATTAAAATAACCACCGAGGAAGTTTTTAAATGTAGCCAGATGACAGACGGAAGCCATGATGACAAGGGCAGGTTTTGTTTGAGTTGCTTTAGCTCAACAGTTAAGAACTGATAGAAGCTGTGAACTTTTGTTTTGTCCTTGCTTAAAGATGAAATTCTTTCTTTTCTAGACTCTCCCTAGGCCTAAGTCACTGGGCTAAAAATTTGGAAGTGTTCTATCCATGGGAACTGTTTAACTAGAGGGATTAGCTGTCCAGAACACAAAGCCGATGCCTTTGCTCTTTGCCTTTATCCAATTTTGTTACCATGACCCTATATTTTTAACTCCATGGTCTCAGAGAGAGAACTTTCCTGTATGTATATCCGGTACTAAGATTAGATTTTCCTGTTCACCATGCATTTCAGTTTATCAATTTGACAACACATATAGCTTTTAATCATTCATTCCGTAGTGAATGCCTACTAGGCAAAGCTCTAAGAACTGAATATAACAGGGACCAAGGCAAAGCCCCCCAAACCAAACCATTCTTCAAACATGACACGCACAATAGTTGTATGTTGCGATAGAAGGTAGCACATGCTATTAAAAATAGATAAAAGGAGGTCTGGGGAATCAGGTGGTAGGCTGTACTGGTAGGGTGGTCGGAGAGGGCCTCACTGAGAAGGTGACATTTGGAGGAGACTTGAAGGGAAGGGAGACAGTCATGTGCAAGAAGAACATACCTGACTCATCAGCAGCTCGTGCACAGACCCTGAGGCAGGAATGTACCTTGTGTGTGTGAGGCAGTGGGTCTCTAGGCATGGGGCTCAGAATAGCACAGCACACCACTTGGGCACATGTTAGAATTACAAATTCCTGGACCCTGCTCCAAGCCTCCTAAGGCACTCAGGTTTGAAACCCACTCATTTCAGAAATGCCGCTTGTGGCTAGAGCAAGTGGAAGGAGGGGAAATAGTAGGACATAAGGTCCCAGTAGTAATAGGAGAGAGGCGGCTTGGCAGAGCCTTGGAAGCCTGGGTGAGGAAGGAGCTTGCCTTCTGAGTTGAATGATCGTCCAGGGGAGGGTTTGGAGGGAAGTTGTGCATTTTAGTCCATCATTCTGGCTGCCATGTGGGAAGAGACTCTGGGGGTCAGGATGGAGGCAGGGAGACCTGTTTGTGTCCTGAAATTTGAAGGAGAGGTAAGGGTGGTAGGTTGGCCCAGGGTGGTGATGTTAGCGGAAGTGAGAACGATAAGCTTCTGAATCTATTTCTGAAGTAGAGATGATAGGATTTGCTGACGAATTTGCTGTGGCGTTTGAGAAAAGAGTGACCCAGGAGGACTCACAGGTCTTGCCCGAGCTGCTGGGTGAATGAG